TATACATTATTTTATACAAGGTTGATACATTATTACAGGTATTTGGTGGAATTCTCACATTTCTTCTTCTTCTTCTTCTTCTTCTTCTTCTTCTTCTTCTTCTTCTTCTTCTTCTTCTTCTTCTTCTTCTTCTTCTTCTTCTTCAATTACTACACCTATATACATAGTGTATCACTGGTATTTTCACTACTCTGCTTATACATCTTTCTACACTTTTATACAACTATATATATAATGTACCTCTTTGTATAAAAGTGTATTAGCATCTCTCACGAACTTTTTATACGATTTTCACTTGCAATTCTTGTTTAAAAGTAGTCCAAATCTCCATCAAATGACTTCAAATTTTGTATACAGCCAACTTAGACTATTTCTAATAAGTTCAAACAATACTCACTCCAAATTCTCACAAAATCATATTTGAAATTTAACAAGATTAGCATTAAAGGAGATGGGATTTTAGATTTCACGCGTCTGTTTTTTGCGTTTTTGTAGCTGTGATAGGTATGTAAAAACTTGAGGAAAAAGGAGAATGGAAACTCACGGATGTTTCACGCCTGAAGATATAGAGAATAAAAAAACGGAAAAAATTCAAACCTAAGCTTATTGATATTTGGCTACACATTTGCAAACTTGTAACTGGGCTAAAATACTGCAAGGTCAGCTTATGGAGTGCATTATTCTGTAATTTTGTCACTAAAAAAACCAGTGATATATCAACCCCGATAGCGAAATTTGAGTAGAATTTACAAATAATTTACTTTGATTCTTTCGCATAATTAAACCTCATCGACGAATGAAAAAGTAGTGACTAATACATAGTCGTGATAACTATTTATTTTTGAGTTTATACACTCACGATGTAAACACCTAGCTAAAAGGTATGTTTAGGTCAATCAAAATTGTGATGTGTCTGCCGGGAGTCGAACTCGGGTCTATTGCTTAGAAGGCAATTATGTCACGACCCAAAATCTCACCTTAAGGATTATGATGGCACCTAGTCTCTAAAACTAGGTAAGCCGATCACTTACAACAATTAAACCTTTAAAACATGATATTATGAAGCAGAATTTAATATAAATGAGAAATTTAAAAGCGATATATGTCAACACGGCGATAATCACTACAAATCCCCATGACTAGATTGTACAGAATCACAAAATCTTACTGAATCCATAGAAATATCTCAAAATACAATACAATTCGGATATAAATTGACACTATAAATGTAAAGTAAAGGACTCCAAGGGACTGCGACAATCACGCAGCTCCACCTTGAATTATACCTGTTAATCGGGCCAAGCCAGCACAATAACAGCTCGGTTTGACCCGGTTCAGCCAGGTACAGTAGGGGGTGGGACGTGTTAGGGAGGGTTGGGGGTGGGGGAGCCAGGAGGGAACAAACAAATTTTGGTAACCGGTGCCCCGGAACTCGGTTAGCCCGGTTCCCCTTTACTGGGCTACAACCCGGTCTAGCCCGGTTACCATTGTAATTTCTTTTTTTTTTTAACATTTTTTTGCCGTTGCGAACGGTTAAATTCAAAAATGGCCATTTCGATCTACCCCTTAAGAAAATAGCCCCCCCACCCCCTAATAATAACCTTTTAAAAACTATAAATAGCCCCCCTTGTTCTTCATTTTTTTCTCACAATTTGATCTCTTACTACTCTAATTCTCTCTCAATTCTCTCTTGATAATATTGCTTATTGCTCTTAAATTCTCAATTACTTATTATTTCAAGTTTCATCAAATATTTACTTTAGTCACTACAAAATTATAATTATCAAATATCAAGTATTCAAGTGAAGTGTGGTATCAATATTCAATATCATCAAATATCAAGTATCAGTCTATCAACTGAAGTTTGATATCAAATTTAGTGCGGCATCCGGAATCCCGGTACACTCGTTCCATCTCTTTCTCTTCTTTGGTGTATATTTTTATTTTATTATTTAGAATTATTAATTTAATTTATATAATGGATATATTTAGAGCAACCAAAAAAGCGTGTACTAGTAGGAGTGATAGTAGTAAGAGTAAAACTTCTAAAAAATCAAGAGGTGGTGTTGGTTCTTCTAATAGCTTTACACATATTTCTGAAATTTCACCTGAAAATTTAAATGTAGATTATGAGCAACTTCAAAAAAATTATGGTATATATGATAATTTAGATGATATTCAATCACCTGATAGTCTTGAAACACCACCAGATACACCTGGTAATGCTAGTCAAACTCAAAATATTAGGGGTGAAGGTCGTGGTAATACAGGTAGGCCTCCTCTCCCTATTAAGAGGAATAGAAGATTAAGAAGTAAGTGTTGGAATTTTTTTGAAAGACTAGAAGAAAATAAAAATTATGTAAGATGTCAAATTTGTAAGGAAGTTTATAAACATGGGACCATAGGTAAGCAAGGAGAACGGGTCAAGTTCGTAGGCATATGGTAGATAACCACCCTATTACATGGGGTGCTGATGAGGAAGGTGGGCAACAAAAACTTAATCCGGGTATTGGCGGTTTAATGGGTAAATATGATATAGCGAAAAATCGGGAAGAATTAGCTAAAATAATTGTTTTAGGTTGTTTACCTTTTAGTTTTGTTGCTTCACCATATCTTGTTACTTATATTCAAAGAATTTTTAACCCTTTGCTTAAAGGTATTCCTAGAAGTACTTGTAGAGCTGATATCTTTAGGCTTTTTGTACAATATTAGACATATATCCGTTATTTGTTCGCTAGTCTTTCTTGTAGAGTTTCTCTTACTTCTAATATTGGTCGTGCTGTTAATGAAAATGATTATTTGACTGTTATATTCCATTGGATAGATAATAATTTTTGTGTGCAAAAACGTATTATTGCTTTTAAATATGATGAAGATCAAAGTCATACTGGTGCATTTATAAGTAATACTATCCATGAAGTTGCTATATTTTACAATCTTTCAGAAAATATTTTGTGTATATCATTTGATAATGCTTCTAACAACAATGCTGCTATTACAATATTAAAATTGCATCTACACCCACCACTTCCTGAAATATTTCATGTTAGGTGTGCACATCATATTTATAATTTAATTGTGAAGAGTGGCCTTGAATTATTTAGAGATGAGATCACTTTAGTTAGAAGAGGTGTTGGTGTAATTCAAGAAAATAATAGAAGTGCTAGATTAAATGCATTTAAGGAAAAATGTGTACAGTATGGACTAAAACCAAGACTCATGCCTAAAGAAATAGTTACTAGGTGGAATTATACTTATTAATTCTTAAGATATTGTCATAAATATAAAATACCTATAACTGAAGTTGCTAATTCTCATTGTACCGATCCTAACCGTTTGTTAACGTCTAGAACTTGGGATGTCATTGAAGATGTTGTAAAAATTTTACAAAAATTTTATGTAGCTACACTTGAGTTTTCTGGAGATTATTATCCTACTATTGCAAATGGTTTAGTTCATATTGCTGAAATTTCTCTTTTACTCTATAATTTGAAGAAGAAAAAAGGATATTCTTCTGTTGTTGAATCTATGCTAGATAAATTTAAGAAATATTTCTACTCAATTCCCCCCTATTTACCTAATTGGTGCTATTTTAAACCCTTCTATCAAAATGGTCATTTGTCGCCAATTAATCACTGCTTTATATGTTTATATAGATATTGGACCAACTGAAACCCCTAATGTTGAAACTTGTATTTCTGATCTACACAAATATTTACAAACTTTATATAATTATTATTCTAACATTGTTGATGCTTCTGCTGCTGTAGATGCAAATATTCCATCAAGTTCAGTTTCAACATCTGTATCCGGTGCTTTGGAGGATAATGATGGCGTTGAAGATTATTTGATTTGGTCTACACTAGGAGAGCATCAACAAACTAGTAGCACGAACATTGATGAACTCCAATTCTACTTACAAAAATCACCAGATTCTACAGCTGGGTTTGTGGAGGAGCAACTCAAATCAATTTCCTGTTCTTTCGGCCATGGCTCGAGACGTGCTAAATGTGCCAATTTCAACAGTCACATCAGAGAGCGCATTTAGCCAAGCAAGGCAGCAACCGGGAGATACTCGTCATTCATTGAGCAGGAACGCTTTGGAAATTTATGGTTCCGATTCAAGCAATGCCGGAAACCAAGAACCTCATGTTGACATGGATGAACTTACAAAAATGATGCAAAGCATGTGATGTACTCTTTCTTATTTTTTTTATAATTGTTGCAAACTTTTAATTTGCAAGTTCAAAAATCAAAAAATCAAAATAGAACTTCCAAATTAATTTGAAGTATTATTTATTATTCAATGAAATAAAGCCTTCGGAGTTTGATCCTTACATATTGGTCTTATTAAATAATTTTTTGCCACTTACTTTCAATTTTAAAATTTTAAAATTCAAATTTTAAATTTAAAACTTTAAAAGTTTAAAGTTTAATTCTAAGCCTTAAAAGCTTGCAAACACTTAAGAATCAATAACATTGAATAAGAAAAATATAATATACTAAAAAAAAAAAGTAACCGTGCCCGGTCGGGACCTATTAAGCCCGAACCCGGACGGGCCCTAATTAACCCGAATTTTCCCAACCCATTACCATCCCGGTTAGCCAGCCCACTATCCAGCCCGAACTACTAACCGGACGGGCTATCTTTTTTTCGTGTCCAGTCCGGTCCAGCCCGTCCGATTAACACCCATACCTTAAATCCTCGGGATCAAGAAGGTAACTCTGTCTGGGTCTGCTCACTTGTAACAACCCTTTGGGATGGTGCTACTAATTATCCCAACTGTTGGAGTAAAAACACTTGTTTTAGGTCAATCTATTTAATTGGTTATCTAGAGCAAATGGTAAATAACATGTTATAAAAGGTTAAAATACATCGATAGTATAAAAAATTATTGTATAGTGTATATAACTTAATAAATCCTTTATTTTTATGAATAAAAATTAAAGGCAAAAAGGGCGAGAGCAATTGCACAATATCTGTATTGTTCCTACTAAGCATATATTTACATAAAAGTTTTTTTAAGGATCAATGGAATATCCAAAATGGATCTCAACACAGTACTCTTCAGTACTCATCTCATTCTCAGGGATTCTAAGTTTTAAGACTCCCCGTTTTTTGGTAGAAGAAAAACAAAGTTGGAGAGTAAATAAAAGAAAAATAGCCTGCACTTCCAGGCCAGAATCGCAAAAACAAAAATTAAAATTCAAAGTTAACATTTATAGGATGTGCAACGTAAAGGTCCGGCATCAGCAGTTAAAGAAGGAACAATAGATCCATCAGCCACAGGAAATGACTGAGCCTTTGAGTAATATGGATTTGTACTTCCATATCCAGATGGTATAAAATATGCTCCATTCATGAATTTATCCTTTGAAGACCTCCACTTCCAATTCTTCCACCCATTCTTTGCTTCCCTCTTCGTAACCTAATAAGTAAAAACGCAACAATATTCATGTATGAGTATTAATCTATTACTCCTATATATTATTGATATAAGAAAAAGAAAAGGTTAATATAGTTGTCATGGATTAATGGGAATTTAGATTATCTCACTCACTTGTGTGGATTTATATGCCATGAAATAATTTCCTTCACTGAAGATGGTTGGATTTGCACTTCCACCAATAGCATACATCAACCATTTTTCGTAGCGATTGTTGGCCACATGAGCATAACCTAGCCTAACTCTGCATGCATGTATATATCTAACTTATGTGAGGAGTCCTAGTTTTCAAATAAATAAATACATACATAGCTATAGAAATCATATTTACCTTGGCATTCGTTCTATTAAACCAGGGCCAAAGTAGTTGAAGGCTACCGTGACTTTCATAACCTTGTCTTCTATATTGTTATCATTGTGCCCAAATAACATAACCTGCTCATCAGATTTCTTTCAGTACTAGTTAATCCCAAAAGTAAATTAAAGGGACAAAATGAAAATCACGGTTTGCACTAGCTAGCTTATTTAACTCGAATCGGTTAGTTAATTTGCAGCTAAATAATGCACCCTATCCATTCCTTAAGTGCAGATTCTAGTTAATCCCTTAATCACGAGTTCACCCGAACAACAAGTTTTAAACAAATTAATTAAATAGACTAAGTAGAAAAATTAATATACACGTACTTTGTCATGCTGAGTGAAGTAGTTGTTGGAAATGGTAACAGCAGTAGAAGCATGAATAACGTCAATAAGACCATCGGTGCAACGTGCAAGATAGCAATGGTCGATCCAAATATGAGAAGATTGAAAAATATCAATACCGTCTCCGTCAGCGCCGCCACGATGGCCGGCATGCACCGGACTATCCCGCACAATGCCCTTCTTACCAGGCTTACAATCATGGATGCTAATCCCATGTATAATCACATGGCTAACATGTGCAATTGTGATACAAGGTCCATATGCAATCTCCACTTTAGCTCCTCTTCCATCTATAGTCTTGTAACTATTTATCATAAGCTCATTCTTTAGTGTTATAACCATGTTTTTGGCGAAAGTAATCCATAGTGGTTTGGATTGGATTACACCATATCTTAGTGTACCTGGTTTAGGGTTTACGGGGTCGTCCAATGGATTAGTAACGACATATATGGCACCAAATTTACCTCCGATAGCAGCTTTGCCGTAGCCGACGGCACAATCAGCCAATGCACGGCGGTTCTTGGCCCAATTTGATTTGGTACGCCAACAAGAATCAATCACATTCATAGTTTTTTTAGTATTAGGTGCATAACTATAAGGAAGAGGTGCATAACTATAAGGAAGAGGTGCATAATACTCAGCTTGTAAAGTTGAGATACCCAAAAAAAGAAGAGTAAGTACAAGTGCTAAAGAAGACATGATGAGTAGGGAAATTAGAGGTTGAGCATACAAACTATGGGAATGGTTGATATTCGCATATATATTAGGGTGTGACAAGGTGGTGCCCACGACGATAGAATATTGAGACTAATTCTTTTTGCATTTTGGCTAAGATTTTGGGGAGCATTAATAGACGTGATTGCACGAGCTTTGGATGATTGACTTTTTGAGAGATTTAATTAGTCTTTTTCATTCTTTAGAAACGCTTAATTGGGATTTGACCTCTCTCTTAAGTAGTAATATTTGACTTAGAAGAATAAAGTTAGTTTTAAATTCGCTACTATTCACTGAATACTACTTAATTATTGTGCATAATAGTTTAAGACAACATGTACGGAGAGACCCAGATTTGTCTCCCTGAGTTGCGACATTTTCAAGGATTTGGCTCCAGATCCAAATGAATTTTGAACGAATCAACATAAGATAAAATTAGAATTTGATTCGATATATAGTAAAAAGACAAAAAGTAATTGGAAATAACGTAGTTCAAGCAAAAACCAAATGATGATTACGTATTTGGAGTGTCTATCTTTGGAAAGTCTCTTGAACATAAGTTCATTGATGCATCTCAAAGGAACAATCAATCTCCTGTCTAGGAGATCACAGTTTAAACGGCAAAGGCCAAATATATTAATGTACTTTCAAAAATTGTCTAAAAATACTTTTCGTTATACTATTGGGCTATATATATCTTTTCCGTCATACTTTGGAACAAATATACCCTTATTTTGGATGGAGTGCCATGTGCCAGCACCAGATGAAAACGAATCATTCCTTTTTTTTTTTTACCCGATCCGTTTTAAAAAACCCACCACCCGACCCGTTTTAAAATTTAGTTTTTTTAAAGCATATATTTTGTAAAAACTAAAAAACAAAATTGTAAAAACTGAAGGAAAAAAACAAATTTGCAAAATATATATTTTTAAGTCTTTTCAGTTTTTTTTAAGTATTTTTTTGTAAAAACTGAAAAAAATATTTTTTAAAAAAATGCTTTAAAAACTGAAAAATATATATTCTGTAAAAACTGGAAAAAAAATTACAAAATATATATTTTTAAGTCTTTTCAGTTTTTTTAAAGTATTATTTTTGTAAAAACTGAAAAAATATATATTTTTAAGTCTTTTCAGTTTTTTTAAAGTATTATTTTTGTAAAAACTGAAAAAATATATATTTTTTAAAAAACTGGAAAAAAAACTCTCCTAAAGCAGTGGACTACATATGCATTAGTTTTAAAAAAATAAAAATATTTTGCAAATTCTTTTTTTTTCAGTTTTTACAAAAAAATACTTTAAAAAACTGAAAAAACTGGAAAAACATATATTTTGAAAATTTCTTTTTTTTTCCCAGTTTTTACAGAATATATATTTTTCAGTTTTTAAAGTATTTTTTTTTTAAAATATATTTTTTTACAGTTTTTACAAAAAACATACTTTAAAAAAACTGAAAAGACTTAAAAATATATATTTTGCAAATTCCTTTTTTTCAGTTTTTACAAAAACAAAATTTAGTTTTTACAAAATATATGCTTTAAAAAAACTGAATTTTAAAACGGGTCGGGTGGTGGGTTTTTTAAAACGGATCGGGTAAAAAAATAGAAATGGGTCGTTTTCATCTGGTGTTGACACGTGGCACTCCATACAAAATAAGGATATATCTGTTCCAAAGTATGACGGGAAGGGTATATATAGCCCAATAGTATAACGAAGGGTATTTTTAGACCATTTTTGAAAATACAAAGGTATATTTGGCCCTTTGCCGCAGTTTAAATCACAGTGTTATGAGTTTGAATCCGAGTTAAGCTATGTTAACTTCTTTTTTTTCTTCCTTAATTTTTTCTTCTTAAGGTGCCTGGCAATTTTCTTAGAGAGCTCGTGTCAAAAGCTAATAATTGGCATGTTATTAGGAATTTGTTTAAACAGAGGAAATTAAAAAGGGTAGAAAAATAATGTCGCTTCCTATTTTAGCTCCTTCAAATAAAGTTCTTAAATGACGTGACCAACATACTTGTGATATGTTCTTGGACCTAGTAATTGGAGGTAAAGTTTTGAAACTTCCTAGTCTGTCCGCTAAACTAAAGTTTAACCAGACGTTGATTAAATTCTTATACTGATCTTTAATGATCCTCAGTTGATTCTATGATGCTACATCTTAGGATGTTATTTTATGAGAACATATATATGTGATCATATTTTGGAAGACTTCTTTGTCATCGTACGTATAAGTGCTTTAGGCCATTAAGCTATTAGCATTAATCTTTCACATAGTAGCTTAATTATTTCTTCATATTTAACCTCATCTATAATTATTTATCAACTAATTGTTATAAATTGTTATTTCCTGGAAAGAAAAAGGAAAAATCAAAGAAATCAACTCCTTTATAATTAGTAAGCTTTTAAGATATGAAACTTTACATGCAGTATTACAATCGAAAATAGAAATGAGAAATACAAGAATGAAACAAACAACTAATGTGATATAGCCTTATTTGATACGCAATAAAAGGAATGACTACCTATAATTAATCAGATACAAATAAAACAGTAAATTTTAGAACCAAACAAATAATTTAATCGTCCTAATTAATAATCTGAGTATACTCTAATTTGCATAGCTACACATTCCATACACACAAGCACTGCCTTTCTGACACTTGTTATTGCAACCCCCACAATTCCTCTTGTGAAACAAAGTGTTAACACACTGCCCTTTACAACAAGTCTCATTATACCTGCATTTCTTCCCACAAAATCCACAATTTTGTCTGTCTGTGAACACATTTACACATTTCTTCTTGCAGCAAAATGGCCCGGGGCTGCCTTTGGCACGACATATTCTAGGGTTCTTGTTACAAGTCATTCGTTTTTGTATTGTTTTTGACTTGTAATAAGGTGATTTTTGTGATAGAAAACGGCTAGCCCCTCGAATGGATGATGAACTTTCATCAGTTTCATTTAAGGGGATATCAAATAATTCAGCCATTTCAGCTTCATTGTCATCTTTTAAGAGTATTTCTTCTTCTTTATCGACAGATGAAGCTACTGAAAGTATAGTGGTTGATGCCATAATCATGGCTAACAAAAAGGAAATTTTCAAATACGTTTTCATGGCTTCTTGTGATTGGATGAAAAGAATGCAAATATGAAATATTTTGAAACGTTTGGATGGAAATTGGAGAAGAAGGAAAGAGTATATATAGAGGAAGGATTTGCATAGCGGAACTATTTGACTCGTGTTAGTGGAGTGGTCTTTGTTCACGGCTATGTACAATACATAAAGTCAAATTAAATAGCTAACCAAAATTAGGCACTTCCATATAATACAATGTGTTCTTAATTACTTTGTGTTTAATCGTATTAGATTTCAGTAATATTTCTATAGCTGCTATATTTTATAAAAGCCTCCGCATTAATTTAGTTGACAAAGTGAAAATAATCTAGCGTATAAGATAGGAAAAATAACATTACGATTTCCTATCGTATTTAATTAATTAATCATGACTTAGTTTTGTTAAATCTATGTGAATGCCCGAAGCGTTTTAGCAGTATTATTTAGGCAAGGTTTTGACGTCTGTGGACTTTTATATAGTATACTCCATAATACAGGTACAGAAGCACCAAACTACCAAGCGTATTCTATTTGACTTGCAATATAGTACTAATATTTGAACTTAGGAGTTGACCCATTAATGTATCCAATTGTTTGAACTTCTATTAATGTCATAGGAACACATAAATTGACTTAACATTGTTTCCAAATATTTATGGGCTGGCAAGGAATACACGATTCTACCACTCGAACTTGCCTGATCCCCAAGTTAACACTACCTTAGAAGGATTAATTAACTGTTCGAGCATGTTACTTATCTTTTTAGGTTACTATTTACTTATCATGGACAATTATTTATATTTTTCTTGTAAATGATTTGATAGTGTAAGTCTTTTTGTACTGTCATATCTATAAAAGTTAAACTCCTTGTCCTTGTTTACGTCTCCAATTTTCACAAGTTTTGACGCAAAGTAATTCAGTTAAAAATATATCCTGAAGATCTAAAATTACTTACGGTAAATTTGAAAAGAAAAACTGCCATTAATCATATTCGTATTGCATTAATTGCTTTCTTGTGAGTTGTGAGTACCTTAGTAATTAGACAAAAGTTAAATTTGCATATCAGTAACCGTTTTCTCCTATGTATTATTTTTTAATCCTTATACTGAATTTGAAAATTAATTTCACTCATTGGAAATGTCTTTAACCGTGAGTCGTTTTTGAGTAAGAATTTTGCGGGAAAGTATGTAGTAGGTAGTCTCAATTTTGGTAAAAAGTAAGCTATGAGCACTCTCTTCAAAATAAAAGTTCTTTCATTAATTCCATCAGGTAAGTACATTGATCAGTAGGATATGGGAACTACAATATAACATAATTATAAGCTCATATGCCTAATAGGCATTTATTTGTTCAGACAAATTATTATTGTTCTCTAAACATATGAAAATATAATTGTACTAATGGCATATATAGCCAAGTAACTATTATGCTTTCAAATCCCACAATGCCCTGCGTATTTTTTTCCAAACAAAGTCTTAACACAGAAGCCTCTGCAGCAAATCTCATTGAAGTTGCACTTCTTCCCACAAAAACCACAGTTTTCTTTGTCCATTAAAAAGTTCATGCACTTGTTCTTGCAACAGAAGGGGCCTGGACTACCCTTGGCAAGGCATATTTTAGGATTCTTGCTGCATGTAAATTTTCTGCCAAATATTCTCTCATGAATTCTCCAGAAATGAACTTTTTCCTTAGCAACAGAATTACCTGCTGTTCCTCGAATTGTTGTTTTATGTGCATCTTTTTTACCGAAGCTAATTGGATCAGCTTTCACTGCTTCAGCCATATTGTTATTGTCTGCTTCTTCTTTCACCAGCATTGTTTGCTCTTGAATTGATGCTGAAAGGGTGGCAGCAAATGCCATGAAAATGGCAAGA